CTCTCTCTCTCTCTCTCTCTCTCTCTCTCTCTCTCTCTCTCTCTCTCTCTCTCTCTCCCTCTCTTGTCATTTTTAAATATAAACACTTCCTTGTTTTAAACCTTTTACTTATAATTTCACTTTTATTTCTTTCTAACTAGTACCAGAGTTCACCTAAACTTTATGATTGATGAAATAACTTGACTTGTTTACATGGTAATAGACATAAATACATATATAAATGCATGTGTTCATGTTTGTGTAATGGCATGAGAAAAGCAGAAAGTGAAAAATCTGTAAAACCAGCAGCCCCAGTAATGCCCAGTTAAGTGAAGCAGCTAATGGCAGGACATTCAGCAGCCTGTTGGCTTATTTCATTACACAAATTGATTCCTTGAAGCAGTAGTTCAGATCTTTTGAAGTGTGATTCTGTGAAAAGTTTTTCAACATTTATTAAGTTACACGATGCTCTTTGAAGAACCTCAATTTGAAGAAAAAGAGTTTAATTTGGACGAGGTAACGACTAGTCTGAGAGAGGTCGATACCAAGTATCTGCTGGCTTAAAGCAGCATCTCTCAGCTCTTAACACTCCATGTGACTTCTGTTTGATACAGCTTTATGTTTTTTTTTTTTGCTTTACATATTTATTCTGATAGAAATATTACAATATTCCTTCACAAAGTGCTACAGCTACATGGAATGTTATGGTTGCTACAGTGCAAATAGCAGCAGTAATCAGTATTGCTTCTGGTATATTAAATGGGATTATTATTTGTTATTTTGTCTGATAATAAGTTATTTAAGTTATGTATTAAGTGGTGAGCACAACTAATCAAAAACTTACCATCGTTAACTTGTAATCTGCTTATTAAAAACATACTTTGATGATGCTTTTTTTTTGCCACTTCAGTAGAAAGCAGAACTGAATATCTGAAAATTAGTATCTTAGCTTCTTCATCATCAGTGGCTTTTTTTAATAGGAGAAAAAGAAAGAGAAAGAAAAAAGTGAAATTTAATGAGAAAGAGTGAAAGAGAGATTAGAAGATATGTGAAATATATGTTGAGAAAACACAAGACAGCACACCCGACCTCTTGGCTCCACACCTACAAAAACAAAGATAACAAAACCACAGCAACAAAAATGCATATCTATATAATTATAATGACTATAGCCTTGCTGAAAACCATACCCACATAAATTTGTACATATACACATAAACATACTACATATCCAAACGCTTTCATATATAT